AAGATTTCAGCAACATCCACGATCACCCACTGCATTAATTTGTGATTTTTTTACTTTTATGGTAAACAGATTCAATTAAAAAAAATAATGATCCAAGTACTAGAAACCCAAAATCAAGTAAAGGTGTAAAGTATATGAATTTGATTAAACATATTTGGGGTTCTAAAGGAAAAATGGAAGGATCTGGCATTAGAAAATATCAATTTTAACCAATATCCATATGAAAATAAAATTGAATACAGATAATATATTGATGATTTATAGAAATTGGAAAGTATAATCAAATATATATATATGCTGAAGGAAAAGCAGGAAATAAAAATTGTATTAATGAAAAAAGGGCTATTAAGGGTTTTATTTAAAATAAATTCTATGAATTTATTAACAAACCAGATGGTATAAAATACTTAAAATAATTTTTTCAACAATTATATCACCAATTATAGGTTCAGGATTACTAAGATTATCAAACTAGTATGAATTTATAAATAATTTACTATTTGAATTGCATGTGTGTACAGTATCTAGAACCTGGAACTAAATTTGTGTGAGTCGGTGGCTCAGTCGGTAGCGTCACGGAGCTTAGGCCCAAGGCAGCGATATCGTGGGTTAGGATCCTGGTCACTGCCGATAAAATTGATCAGTACATTTCACCACGAATACTAGAAAGATATTTTTCTTGTAATCGTGCATTTCACCTTTGTACTGTACCTTGCTTTGCTGAATACGTTCCACGCACGGGCATATGTCTATGTGGACGGGCAAATGCAAGGTTAAAAGACGCCGCCAACCTCTTAAATAAAAAAAATAATAAAGAAAAATTACAAAAGAGATTGAAAAGAGGTTATCCTGGTATAAATGATTTGGATAAATCTGCCAAAGAACATGATATATTTTATCATAAGGATACAGAGTCTAGAAATTAAATTGTGTAAGAAAAGGCTTGGAATATAGCAACATCTAGTGATCATGGTATTAGTGAAAGATAAGTAGCATTACCAACATCTAGTGCTATGTGGTTAAAAAGAAAATTTGTGTATGGGTTTAGAGGTTGGATTAAAATTTTAACCTATAGAGAAAGTACATGTAAATGTAATTGACTATCAAAAGTCTTAAATTAAATCTGCTTTTAAGAAAAATATAGATTTAACCATACAATTTTAAATTAACCAATTTAACAATGGAAATGATATATTATTGTTACAATTGAAAAAATTGAAAAACAAAAAATTAAATACTGGATTAAGACTTGAATTTTCTTATAATCAACATAAACAAATAAAAAAAGTCTTGTAATATATCAACATCTAGTGATCATGGTATTGGCGAAAGATTAGTTGCATTACCAACATCGGGTGCTATGTGGTTAAACGAAAATTAGGTATGGGTTTATAAGTTGTATTACAACTTTTTGAATAAAAGTTAAAAGAATGTCAGGGAACGCCTAGATCCGTTTTAATAGATTTTCTTTTTCATAAACTCATTAGGTTCCAAAATTGTTCGGTTTTTTACAAATATATATCGATTGTTTATAACACTGGGTGCACGCTCATTCTTCCCGTGTGTGGACGAAACGAAGGTAGCCTAGTTAATAAGGCTGCGCTGGTTAGTAAGTCGACCAGACCACACAGTAGTAGTCTACTCTAGGTTGGCGCACAAATGACTACACTGGATCGAGCAGGCATGCATGCTCAATGCTCAAACAGTGTCTTGCAGAGCAGGAGATCATTTCGAGCATGCCTGAGGCCTTGGTGCAGATGTGGTGAATGTGTATGGTCATAACTCAAATGACAAGTCAACAAAACACCATGGCCTCTGTTGGTTAGACGTCCAGAACAGGCTGCCATATAGGAAATATTCAGTATCCAGAAAATTTTTTTTATGATAAAATTTGTCAACTTATTTGTGGTGGGATTAGCATCATATTATCTTTGGACTTAACTAGCTGAGAACATCATTATCAACAAACTAAAGAAAAGGGATTTTGACAACTCTCTTTATGTCATTAATTAATATGGAGATCAGAAAATATCTAGATTTTTTTATGTTTTCAAGTCAATTTAGAAAGAAAACCATATTCGCCCCATAATGCCACATAAAAGCCAGTTCACATGATCTAATCAAGACAGTTAGTAAAATTCATCCTGATGAGGGAGTTTTTATTGGAACTTTAACTTAGCCGCATTAGAACTACATAGGAATCTGTATTGGAAATGTTCTCTGTATAGTAACACTTTATCAAACAATAATATTATGATAGAGCTAGTGTGATAAATAAAAAAAAAACACAACATTAATAGATCTGACAACAGTAATTGTTTTTTTAGCTTCAGTTAGAATGTGGAATTTGGAAATTTTCAAAGTAAAAAATAGAACAAAACTCATATTTGCCCCATAACCCTCTAAGAAAGCCTGTTCTGATCATCTGGCTAGGATGCTTTCAATTTTCATGCTAGATAAGTCTTCACTCTCTTACATCCAATCATATCAAAAGTGGAGTTTCATCAACAGTTTAGTCGCTTTTGATTTCATCCCGGGATGATAATGTTACCCATAGTATCGAGGAATTAAAGACACAATTTAGGCCTAATACTTTGTTTGTTTTTAAAGCTCTTTTCAACACATCCTGACCCATTGGATTTTGAGGTTAAATATCATACAACCCCCTGTGAAAGCATTTTCTCATGGTCCAGTAGCTAGGATGCTTTGTGTAAATCAATTATATTAGATATGTGTTCACTCTCTTATATACAATCATAATATCAAAAGTGGGGTTTTATCAACCATAGTCATTATAAATTTCATGGGATACTATTCTTTCTTATATACTACTACCCTAACCTTTCATCAGGGGAAGACACAAACAAAGTGGTGAATGGTGAATATACGTGTATATAAACATTTATTTCGTTTAAACATTTAAACGACATTTAAACATTTATAACGTGTATTTCGTAATACAATCTGAAACATCCAAAAAGCTGCATTTCATGCTAAAAATGAATCTATTAAACGGGTTCCACTTTCATAGATTTCAATGTGAAAGCGCAGTTTTGGCGAAATGTTGCACGTTACCGCTGGCGGAAATACTCGGAGTTGGACGATGGTTGGACCAGAATGGGGATGAGTTGCAGCGTTGCCACATCGAAGGCCGCGACCTTATACTAGAGCCTTATACATGTAAGAGACGGCTATGCTGGTACGCGACTTATTTGATCGTTGCGCGACGTACCCTTACCGGTACCAACAGAAAATTTTCTAATACAGTGTACCGGTAATGCACTAATGGGGGAATTTGAATCAAATATTTAAGTTCTGTAGAGAGTAAATTTAGACCCAGCTTTAGTTTTAGATTGAGAATGTACGAGGGTTGTTTTTTTTTCAACCTCCGATAGGCTATGAACAAAAGACAAGTTCATATAAAACATTAAATTTATTACCAAAAGTTTGGTCCATTTATGGTTACTTTTTGACATAATCACCAAAGAGATTGAGACATTTGCTATATCTGTGCACCAGCTTTTTAATACCCTCTTCAAGAAAAGTGGCCGCCAGTACATTCCAAAAAACAAAAAAAATTCAAAAAACAAAAAATGTCAATAAAATAAAAAAATCAATAAAACATAAAAAAAGGACTTTAAAATGTCTAGAAATTCAGAAAACAAATCAATAATGGTGAATCTGTGGTTTATTTAACCATTCTGCCAACTTGTTGAACCAGCTCATTACTGTCGTTTCAGATGACTTGGTTCAACAGTTCGACAGGATGGTTAAATAAACCACAGATTCACCATTATTGCTTTGTTTACTGAATTTCTAGAAATTTTAAAGCCCTTTTAGCGAATTTCCCATATAGGGAATAAGCTATTACCGTAGGTCTCATGGTAAGACCTAGACCCGGGACCGATTTACTTTTTCGTTTTGAGGTCCCCAGAGGCCAAAAACACCATCCGTTCAAATTCATATATATATATATATATATATATATATATATATTTATTTATTTATATATGTGTCCGTTAGCGCGATAACTCAAGCAAAATTGATCCGATTTTGATGAAATTTGGTACAAACGTGTAAACCTACATTTATTTGAACGAGTTCGCGAACCAGCGTAATCGGACCATGGGATCAGGGGTTTATGGGGGGTTTTATGGGGTAAAAATAGGTTTTTTCCATTTTTGACCCTAAAAACTTTAAATTTCTAAATTTCTTTCCTGACCATTTTGAAGAGCTTAAAAAAACAAATAATTTAGTATATTGAAGTGTTTTTGAATGTTAATTGACTACGGAGAAAATTAAAAAAATTGTAAATTTAAAATTCCCATGTTATTCTTATGGAGAATAAATAAACTGTTCTAGTTTGCTTGTTTATGGATATATTTTAATCAAATTTGGCAATTTGGTTTATTTCATACTAAGCTATCAATATTTCAATTGAAAAAACACACCTCAACATGTTCCCCGTAGCAGCAAACCTAACTACTCACTAAAATTAATGTTATTTAAATAGGAAATAAATCTGAAAATTTATAGTGAATATTTTAGTAGAAATCAAGCCGGGTAAATGGAAATTCGCTTAGTATGCAGGTTTGCTGCGACGGGGGTATTTTTATTTTTTCTTGATTTTTTTATTTTTTTTATATTTTTTGTTTTTTTGAATTTTTTTGTTTTTTGAATGTACTGGCGGCCACTTTTTTTGAAGAGGGTATTAAAAATCTGGTGCACAGATATAGCTAATGTCTAAATCTCTTTGGTGATTATGTCAAAAAGTAACCATAAATGGACCAAACTTTTGGTAATAAATTTAATGTTTTATATGAACTTGTCTTTTGTTCATAGCCTATCGGAGGTTGAAAAAAAAACAACCCTCGTATATGCTATTTATGCATGTTAAATAAGAGCTATATGTTTTAACTGAATGTTTATATTGTAATATTTTGTACTGCAATATATGAGTACAACTACACTGCTCTTACCCATTTTTTTAATTTTTGTAGTACAACAAGGATATAAAACCAGGAAACTTCCCGGACTTGACGTTTGTGGGAAACCCAAACTGAAGTTTGAAGATAAAATCATTAATGGCAGACCAGCAGAGTTAGGTAACTACTATATTACAAATTCAAATACTATAGTAATCAATTAAGGATTGCCATACAACTACTAGTTCACATACATGACATAGCAATTTATTTTAGTGGAATAACCTGACATGCCAAGAGTTCTAGTAGTTGTATCTTAGTCAATTCACCCTTACAATATGACAGGATTTCTAATATCATTTTAATTTAAAAGTATACATCTTCACACAAATTAGAAATTTTTTTTACCTAATTTAACAATGAGTTTTTATCATCGATCTCTATTATTGTTTTTATGTAACCAAACACAAATCCAATTTTAGTAAAAACATGACGTCTTAAAACTTAAAAATCTTGAAACTATAAAATATTATTGTTATTAATATTAGTTTCCTTCCATATGTTTTCATAAAACATTTAAATGTGGAAAATGGAGTTTCTTTAATATTTATAAAAATGTAACTGATTGTGTGAAAGCTCACTTATAATAGGATTTCTTTTCCTTTTTCTCTCAACTAATAAGGTTTCTTTAACAGCTAAGTAAGATTTGTATAGATTTCGAAAATAATCCAATCTGGCGTAATTGCAAGCAGAAATGTCTGAAAAATGTGTCTATGGAATAGTTTTTTTGTTCATTTTTTTGTTGGGTAGACCAAACTAGCAAATTAAAATATGTGTATCGTTCATCCTGAAACATCCTCTATAGGTTGCATAAAATTGTCATCAATATATAAGTTAACCTTGAATAATTGCCATTAGTACAGTATAAAGATTTAGTTGGCTCCACATAATAAAAACTTTCATAAACTTTTACCATGTCTCAAGAAGACAGAACTGATTTGACTGAAAAAGAAACCAAGATTAATTCTTAATACATCAAGTTACCATAGTCTAGGTAGGCATATTAAAGATTTGCCTGGTTTGGTTACACAAGGAACACTCTGACTTGAGTGACAATGTCAGTTGGAAGTGTGCTGACAATCTTATCATTGATCAATACATCTTGAAAATATTCTAGGTGCTTAACCATAGATGGCCAATAATCATGGGCGTCCATCCATATGGGCAAGAGGGAGCTCGAGCCTCCCCCCTTTGTGACCCTGACAAGGGTGACCATAGAGACTGAGAATTCCTGAAAGTTTGCGTAAACTTATTGAATCAGTAACTCTGCGGGAATTTTGAGCACTGGTGAACCTGCTGAACCTGCTTTAGTCTGCGGTCACGGTGAAATTGTGATCGTCATTTGTGGTCACGGCAAAATCGAAAAAAAATCCGAAGTCGTGAAAAATCAAGAACATGTTCCGCGGTTACGGTAAGATCGAGAACATCTTCCGCGGTCTCGGCAAAACCAAGAACATCTTCCGTGGTCATGGCAAGATCGAGAACATCTTCTGCGGTCACCTCAAGACCCAAAACCCCTTCCTCGGTCACGGAAAAATGAAGAACATCTTCCGTGGTCTCGGTATCATGGCAATATCGAGTACATCTTCCGTGGTTACGGCAAGATCAAAAACAACTTCCACGGTTGTGGTGTGGCAAAATAAAGAACATCTTCTACGGTCACAGTAATATGAAGAACATCTTGTGTGGTCACGGAAAAATGAAAACATCTTCAGTTGTCATGGTGAAATCATTAACGTTTTCCGCGATTAAGGCGCAAAATTGAGAGCACCCTCTACATGCTAAGATCGAGAACATATTCTGCAGTCAATGCGATATCATGAACATAATCCATGATCCTGGCGAAACTGTATACGTCTCCCGCAATCACGGTGAAATCAAGAGCATCTTCTTTGGTCACGGCAAATTTGATAACATCTTCAGTAGTGGCGGTGAAATCATGAACGTCTTCCGCTGTCAGTGTAAAATCGAGTACTTAGTCCGCGATCACAGTGAAATCGTTAACATCATCTCTGTAATCATGGCATAATTGAGAACATCTAAGGCATACAGTAGGCAAAATCATGAGCATCTTCCGAGGTTAAACAAATCTTGGACATCATCGTCTTCGACCGGTAAAACCAGGTTTTCTGTTGGGAAAACTGTAAAAAATAGTGAATTTTGTCCAGGAAGTTCTGCCCAAAACAACAGATTTTTTTAGATTGTGGAGTAAACCTTGGAAGTTAAACGATTCACATTATGCTAGTGGCCACAGTAGTAAGTATTTAAATTTTTTAAACGAAGCAATAACACATAAATTTACAAAGTTAATTAAGGTGTAAAAAGTGTTAAAACAAACATTTTAGATCTAAATTTTAACCATTTTTCTCAAGTACTCCTAAGACCACCATTTAAATTTTACGGGGTTTGTTCCGTACCTCAACCCCCAGTCCCCCTTATAGAAAAGTCAGATGGACGCCCATGCTAATGATGACTACACAAGGAACTCTGATATGAGCATGACAATGTCATTGGAACCGTTCTGGCAGTCTTGTCACTGGTCAATGTATCTTGACTATGTTCTAGGTGAATACCCATGAATGACCAATATTGTTTACACAAGGAACTCTAACTTGAGTGACAATGTCAGTTGGAACTGTGCTGGCACTCTTATCACTCTTCAATACACCTTGACTATGTTCTAGGTGCTTACCCTTGGATGGCCAATATTGGTTACACAATGAACTCTAACTTGAGTGACAATGTCAGTTGGAACTGTGCTGGCAGTCTTATCACTGATCAATATATCTTGACAGCTGCTCACTGTGTACATCACACTACTATTAGAAATAGAAAACCACCTTTATTTGTGTAAGTACAGAGTATTTAACCTTTTTTAGCGAATTCCCCTATAAGGAAAAAGCTATTACCATAGGAGGCACAGAAAGACCTAGACCCATGTCAAATTATTGGGGTTGGGGTTTTATATTTTAAAATATTGGAAAATCGGTTATTTCAAATTTTAACCTGTAAAACATAGACATTTTTAAAATTCCCATATTACTTGTGGGCAATAAACTGTTGTTGTTAATAGATTTTTCTTTACCAAATTTGGCAAATGTATTTATTGTATACAAGAGGTTAAGCTACCGGTACCTTGATTCTGTCGAAGTAATCCTCTAAGTCGGGAGACGGACAACGGCCCAGATCTTTGTTTGTGTTAATCCCCTGATTTATGGCCTGAGGGTTGTGGTCATCGGAGGAGGGGTGGGGAATCGAGAATTCTTAATCCCATCGGAGGAGTTAACTTTTTGTCAAAGATTTCGCTTAGAATGCGATTACTTCTTAACCGTACATCTTTTGTTAGAATTTATAATTTTATGATCAGAACTATTTTTTTGATTAGTAAACCTTCATTCGATTTTTCATTATCAGCAAGTTTAGTTAGTTTGGTTAGGTTATGACAGTTAAATTAAATTTAAATTTAACCTACAAACGATACTTTTTAACAGCGACAGTGATAGAGCTAACAATTTGCCGCAAACAGTTCGGCTATGCTTTTCATATTTCCCTTTTTTATTTCTGTGGGGTTGATGTCAATAGTATGGTAGTTCTTCTTACAAATTGACTTTAATTTAGTCAATGAGGTGTTGTAGTGTTCTCCACCTTTTACCAAAACATTGTGTATGTTCGTTTTAGATCTTTGAAACACGAAACGTTTGCATAGCGATATCTTGAAATGCCAAGATCCAGTGGGCTTAAAGACCCTCTTGGCTTCACCCAGCCAGTCTTTTACCTTACAGTCTTCATCAAAGTTTTGAATGGTTGTCCTGTTACCGATAATATCTAAGTACTCATCAGGGTTCGCAATCACTTCGTGTTTTCTTATGTCATTCTCAATTTTTCCGAAAACACGATCGGGTGGTATGAATGAGTGCCCACGAACGGGAAAGATTACTTATTGTATTTTGGTATCAGGCCACATTCTAAGCATTTTTTGTTAAACTTGATGTTGTCATTAGTTTTCAAGACTTTCAATTTTACATCTTTGTATTTATATGCAAGATATGCTTGACTAGCTTCTAACTTCATATTGTGCATTACCTTCCGGATTACTTCATGAACTGTATACAAGAGGTTAGGTTACCTTGACTCTGTCCAAGTAATCCTTTAAGTCGTCATTAGTGTGACCGGTTTCACAACATCCATAAAACCAGAAATTGGCAGCTTATCACAGTTTTGTTAATAGATTACTGTCAATCCCTATGTCTGAAGAAAACTACAACGAAGAGGTCAATACCAACATTGCAATAGCCAACGGTTACAGGAGCAATATCATCGACAAATTAGTCTTGAAACATAAGAAGAAAAATAGCCGCATGAAATCAACCTTATACAGACCGAAATACGTTTCTACTGAATTTGGCAGCTAAACCATACATTAAGCAGAAAAAATGTCTAAAAACCAAGTTATCGTCCCATTTAACTTCGAATTAACTTTCATCAGTATTAAAAGATAAGAAAACAAACCGCTGATCAAACAGAAGATTCAGGTGTATACAAACTACATTGTGACAGTTGTCCAAGATTTTATATTGGCCAAACTTCCCGCCCATTTGAAATACGCATTAAAGAACATCTCCCGAAACCATAACCTAACTCTGCCTTTGCTGAACATTTGATTAATAACAACCGTGAATACACAGATATCAACAATAATCTAGAAGTTCTACGATCCCATAAAGGAAGGGAAAGATTATTAGATACTATTGCGGAATATGAAATTTACAAGACCGGCAAAAAACACCCCTAAAATGATAAATCCTTATTTGAATCCAATATAATTTTTGAGGGAGCCTTAAACATCGACGAGATATTATCAACAGCTGATAAATAGAGGGGGGTTGGTGGGGAGAGGAAGGCACTACGTCAGTCTAGACCTTTTTGTACCCGCCGCCGTGTTTTGTCCATTCGATATAATGAAAAATAGTGGGGGTAGCTGGAAAGTATTCCGAACTTGATGGAATTTTTACATGTTGTCTGGGGGCACTCTGGGATGTATATCCTGAGTTTTCAACCTCTAGCACCCTGTGCTAACTTTAGGAGGGGCCAAAAACTTCTATATTTTCGGTATTTTTTATGTTTCTTGTGTATATGTTGTAAACTAAGCATATTTTGTATACCATTGTGCAATACAAAGTTGTAGAGCATGAAATTTGCAAAATTTTGGTTGGTAAAACATTTTTGTACACTCGATATTAACTGGAATACGGCCAAAACAAGTTTGATTTTTTTAAGCAAATTGTTGAACACGGAAGGTTTTGGCCCTATAACTATTTATTACTATCTTTGCCATGTAATTATTTTAAAAACTAATTAATATTAACATCTTGGAATACCTATTAACCCCCCCCCCCATCACCCTTCCTGCTCACACCAAACACCTTCGGTGGAAACTTGATCAAAATTGGTCCAGAACTTTTCATTAAATCTAGTGTTTTAAATCATTCAAATATTGTGAATAGGATGAGTGCACCAGTGAATGATCACCCCCTCAGTGAATTACAGTTTTGAATCAATAGCATCATAACAGGCTTTCTGTATTTCCTAGTCCATTACAAACGTGTTTAAAAGTAACTTTGGGGCATTATTAAAATTCACTCTGTGACTGATTCAAAAAAGAAAGTGTCAATCATCCTTTTGTAACACAAACAAAATTAGATGTTTCAAGCAGTTCATTTTTCAGCTTCCTACTATGGCGTCTAGCACAAACATGGTTGGTTGTTATTTGTCATGGTTCCTTAATTATTGATTGGAACTGTAATATATTACATGTAATTCACAGTTAACATGTTAAGGTACAATTCTGTACTCATTTAAAGATCAAAATCCTATTCAATTGTATATTTAAACAGCCGGTCAATTGCTGGGTCACAACTCTATATATATATATAAGGCAAAGCCCTCAATGACCGACTCACTCACTCACTCATCACTAATTCTCCCACTTCCCATTTACCTAGGAGGCTGAAATTTGGTACACTGATTCTTTAGGCATTAAATAGGAAAACTAAGTTGTTTTTTATTCTGATCGGACTCTCGAGCTCCGCCCCAGTGGCTCTGGAGTTTCCCATGTTAACCTTATGAGTACTCATATTTAAATAGAATTAATGAATCTTAACAGCTCTTAAAACATATACAGGGTGATTTGTACTCAGTGTGACAAAATTTCTTTGGTGTAAGTACAAAGTAAATGAAGTGTGATGATGCATATCAAATGTTCCAAGTCTAAAAATTAGCTTCCCAAAAAATTATTTTATGTTTTTCAAAAATAACCATGCTTTTAAACTTAATACAGCAATTTCTCAATTACCTGTATATGGATTTGAGTAGATAATGTCATTTTCGTGTTCTACATTAAATTTTGAACAAGAATAATATAAAATAACGGAGGATCAGTTGTAAAAACTCCATTGTAAATAGATTCAAAGATAAAAATTAAGATGTTTGATACAAATTTTAAAATCAATTGTCTATTACATTTTTCACACCCTGTATACAAGAAAGTGTCGGAATATGTTAAAAACTGCGCCAATTTATAAGCTTTCCAACCATATGCTACACTATTGAGGTTTAGATATTTTGTTGTTTGTTTTAGTGGTTTGAATACCAGAAAACAGGGAACTTTTTTACTGTTTTTACTGTTCAAGCTGAAACAAAAATACAACTTTTGCTTAATACCTGCCGACTTTCTATGTTTTAAATGTTAAAGACGCCATGCTTTGTAGTCTTCAAACCATTAAAGCGTACATAAGCAGACATAAACCTCAATAGTGTAGCATATATGGAAAGCTTATAAAATGGCGCAGTTTTTAACATATTTCGACACTTTCTTGTATACAGGGTGTGAAAAATGTAATAGACAATTGTTTTTAAAATTGTTATCAAACATCTTAATTTTTATCTTTGAATCTATTTACAATGGAGTTTTACATCTGATCCTCCGCCATTTTCCATTATTCTTGTTCAAAGTTTAATGTAGAACACGAAAATGACATTATCTACTCAAATCCATATACAGGTAATTGAGAAATTGCTGTATTAAGTTTAAAAGCATGGTTATTTTTTAAAAACATAAAATAATTTTTTGGGACGATAATTTTGAGACTTGGAACATTTGATATGCATCATCACACTTCATTTACTTTGTACTTACATCAAAAAAATTTTGTCACACTGAGTACAAATCACCCTGTATTTACGCTTATACTGTTACTCACAAGACGGTAAATATACAAAACAGATGGTAAGTGGTGATCGATTTCGATTGGACACTCCAATCATCATCATCAGACCCAATTAGTCCAGGACCTGACTAGGGTTCTGTGTGCATGTCGTGTATAGAGAATTTTGCTTTTGCATTTCAATATAGGTGTCTTAGGAAGTGTTTTCCACTCGGGTGTCAAGTTCGCACCTGGTACGTTTTCGAGCTATGACGTCATCAACATGGCGGCCATTGATTTTTTTAAATCGTATATTTCGCAAACTATTTGTCGGATCGGAATGATTTTTTTTTGTTTGAAAGATAATTTTAAATGCTACGTTAAAATTGGTGTTTTTATGAGATTTATCTAGTTTCTTGACGTAATCTTTTGAGTAAAACATATCGAATTTGGTATTTTTGTAAAGATTTTTAAACGTTCTACAACTTTTTTCATTGGTGGTTTTTGATAAATTGTATCAATAAAATGTTACAAGCAAAAATAACACAAAAATATTTAAAAATACAGGTTTTTGCATAATTACGAAGAATGTACTAAACATACAACAAATGTGTAAATGTAAAACAGGTAGCATTTAAAATTATCTTT